CGTGCTTCCGTGATCTTCAGTGGTGGCAGAGTCATACCAGAAGAAAAGGTAAACCTCCTCCGCCTCTGTCAGACTTAGAGGGGGTGGGTTTACTGCAAAGCGGTCGTGGTATGGTCTGTGGTCTGTCCCCAACCAACTCCCTGTCGTCGATAGACGGCAGTGGAGGGTCCACCACACCCGGCGGGATCGGCTGCTCATCAGGACGACTCGTGACGTGACGCCGTGACGTCCTTCCTGATGGCCCGCTTGTGGTCCCGGAGGGAAGGGCCCGGAGGCTAGGGCTGGGAACCTTTAAAAGTTTCCGGAAAATTTCTTGAAAAAGCGGAAAATTTCGGGGGGAAAATAGAAAATTTCCAAGACTTCGGAAGTTTTCCGTTATTTTTCGGGAATATTGGAGATATTTTATTTTTTTTGAAATTATTTTGGAAACTTTGAAAATTTCCAACCCTACTGGAGGCCGATGCTCCGGAGGGAGGGGGGTCGGGGAGGACGCGCTGTTGGTGGCGTCGCCGGCCGAGCCGTGGGGCGCCGGGCCGGGCCGGGCCATAGGCCGCGGGATTGATTAAGTTATTACTGATGCAGGGTGCCTTAATAGCGACTCCATTATCGTGTCCGGCGGCGCCGAGGGACAGGTCGTCGCGAGGCGTCGCACACCCCTGGGGCTGGCGCGGACCGACAGTCCCCAGTCCCCCATACAGTCCCTCCGAAAGTCCCCCATACAGTCCCTCCGACGACAGTCTCTCCAACAGTCCCTCCACAAGCATTCTGATAAATACTTGAAAATGTTACAGGGATATTGTCCATAGTGTGTTGTTAAAGGACAATTTGAAATATTGTAAAATTGGAGCGTATCAACTTAGAATTGATTGACGAGCCAGAATGAGGCTGTCAGAAATTCACACCATATTTTGTAAATCAGAGTTACGAAATAGGGTCGTAAATTTTTAAACACATTTTCGATTGTGAGTTCCCTCTAAACTGTAGGTATCCTGCAGAATGTCCATCGGGCAGTGGCAGGTCCTCTCGAAAGGCCCTCTCGACAGTCCTCCATACGCAGGTCCAGCGCCAGGAAGGAGGCACTCAACAAACCCTTTCGCTTCGTCCCTCGCCGACCCTTCGTCCCCCTGTCCCACCGCAAAGTCAGTCCCTCACATCTGATGGCCTCCCCCGCAGGTGGGTCCCTGACCGACCGTGGCTGCCATTAGCGGTGCTAAACGCTCAACGCACAAACCCCGCCCAGCCCGGCGCGCTGCACATTTGTTTCAGCGAGAGGTGTCAGAACGGCCCCGAGGCACGCCACTCTTCTGACGGCGCATATTTATTTTTTCCCTTGTCGGTTCCGTGACAGGCCGGCGTTAACGGCGCCGCCCTGTCCCCCCGGGGGGCGAGCCCGAGTTCATTGATAATTTCTTATTTCCCCACGGGCGCTTGTCGGTCCACGCGGCGGTGGTGGGTAAACAAACACTCCAGGGTGTGACACGATGGTGGTGGTGGTGGTGGTGGTTGTTTCTGGCTCGAGACACGACACAACATCATGGATACAACTTGAGCGAGCCCTCTGCTTGGCAGCGTACTCACATCACAGCGGCATGGAGCCAACTCTGTCCACCTGGACGGCCCGCTCCTGCTCCGGCTCCAGCTGCGCTGCGCTGCGCGGGGCGCGCGTCAAGCTGCTCGCAGGCCGCACGGCGCGGGCCCGGGCAGGGGGGGTGGCGAACGCCTCGGCAGAGCGGCGGGACCCAACTGAGCTGCCGGCTGGGCGCGGCCTACCCTCTCGCGAGCGGCTGGAGAGAGAGAGGGGGCGCGGCGTACCCTCCCTCCTCCCCTCCTCCTCCCGCTCTCCAGCCGGCGCGCCCCGCCCGCGGCCCGCACGCGCGCGCAGGGCGGCTTCCTTACAGCCGCGCGCGCGGGAACGACTTTTCAGCCGCTACCTGGTCCGGATCGACCCCCCCGCCGGGACGAGTGCCTCGCGCGCACCGAGTTGTCGCGACGACTACCTCTGTAACTTTGCGCCGCCGCCGCTTGCGCGCGCCGGAAGGCGTTGTTCAACATTCTCGCGCCGTTAGCGTCACTCTCTTATCGCCCTCATCGACTCACTTGTCCTGGAGTAGCTGGCGCCGCGGTGCACTTCCAGCAGCTCGCTCGTATGGTTACCCTCCTCGTCGCCGTCCTCGCCCCCCTCCCAATGGCCCCCGCGCTTTAGGTTTTCCTACTTCCCCGACTCCTTTTCCTCCTCCGATGCTGCCGATGCTCTAAGCGGCAGACCGCGCCCTCCCCCCCCCCCTCCCTTCTCCCCGATCCAACTCCTTCTTATATCTTTCTCTTTTTCTTGTAGTCCCTTGATGTCCCCTTATCCGAAAATCTATCAGGATGTCTCCTCTGTCCCCTCCCGCCGCCGCCGGCCGCGCTCGCTGGCCAAGTCGCACAGTAATAGGGGAGACCAGGACCAGGGGCTGCTGGGCGGTGTCCTTCGGATCGGCCCCCGCTAGCCCAGCCCGGGCGGGCATGTCCAGGGCAAGCCCGACCCGCCAGCTCTGTTATTTCGAGGGGACGACGCGCGGAGCAGAGAGAGTGGCAGGAGAGGGGAAAGGGGAAAGAAAGGGGGAGGAGGGTCTGGCAGTAGAGGACTCCGCAGGTATAAGCCGGTGAGCGCACACACCCGCCCTGGTTCACTAATCACCCCCCACCACACACTCCCTAACCCCCCAGCCCCCCCTTCCCCTGCGACCTCATCCGCCGACATCCCCGACCACCGTCGTCGTATTGCCCCGCGCGCCAGATTTGACGTGTGTGTCTCATTCCAGGGGAGAGTGGTGTAGGTGGGGTTGTGTGGCTGGTGGGGCTCCACATGTCCTCTTCGCACACCAATGCCAAACGGGGAGCGGCGGCTGACATTCCCCGCCATGTGTCGCTTTGATTTCTCACTTTTCATCGGGCTCAAAGAGAGAGAGGGGGGTTCTGATTGGTCCTTTTGACGAACGCGGGGAGGAAAGGAGAGGGTGGATCAGTATAGGTATACCTTACCGTTTAATTACTGGGCTTTATTGGAGAGATTTGCAAAGCACAAATCCGCACAAATCAGTGCCACTGCGCGTTTGACTTTAACATGAAGGTGGTGCGGGTTTATTCAACGTAGACCTGCAAACGAGCACAGAAAAGCATCCATTTGTTGGGGGTTCGCAAGAACGGGGACGGCGGTATGGGCTCTGCATTTACGGACTCTTTGCTATGACGAGTAGTGAGCGTGCGGGGAGCTCGTGTGTGGTTCTTCTCGCTACCCGTCATGTGCACCCCGTGACTCACGACACGACGCCGGCCCGGTGATGTGTTGAAAGCCGAGTGAGAAGCAGCCGCGCGGCCCAACGCGCCTTCCTCGGCCCTCCAGAGGACCTCAGAGGGCTCCCTTGTTGGGGGGTGAAGGCGCGCGCGCGCCCCTTGGACGAGACACTTACCTGCAACAGAGAGAGAGAGAGCACACTTCATCAGCGCTGCGATGCTTGCTTGTCGCGGGGCGCGTCGTTACCGCGAGAGCTGAGCTGCACCTCGGTGCATAAACAAGCCCCCCCCCCCTTTCCCACCTCCCTCTATTCCTTACATCCTAATTCCCCTTACCTTTCTTTTTCTTCCCCTCCACCTCCACCCCCATCCCCCCCAAAAAAAAACAGCAACTCAACGCTTATTTACAAGAAATTTAGCATGTTTTACCTAGTGATGACTCTACCATTAATTTGACAGCAGGTAATAATGCAATTTTAACTAATTCATCAAGTTAATTAACGCGTGTCGCACGGGTCCTGGATTACTTTTAAATGCATTACTCACGAGTAATCGGACGCTCGTCATTAGGTGGAATGAAGACAGCCTGAAAGCGAGCACGCTTACTTCGTGCTCTAGTTTTCAAACTTGTAAGTGGCAACCTCTTTGTTATGCACTTGTGGGAACGGTAAAGAGAAATGTTCCTCATTCATAAAGTCGCGAAGTAAAGCGTGTCTTTGGCTTTGCACCTGCAGAACTAAAAAGTTCGACACTCTTTACAACTGCAGAAGTCCTTGTTCTGCACGAGAGCTGCTGCTGCAGCTTCCCCTGTGCTTGCTTAGTCAGAGGCCGATTGGTACAGGTGGAGTCTTGCCAGCGCGCTGGTTGGAGCTCGGGGGAGCAGGGCGGCCGTAGAGATAGGGCTGGCCACTGCATGCCATTCGAATCACCCCCGATCACCCCTTACCGCCCCCTCTCCTCTACTTCCTGTCAGGTCCCCTCCCCCTAAAATCTTCTTCTTCCTCCCGATAAGCCGAAGCGCTATCATCGTGGACTCCACCGCGCCCTTGTCCTCTTTCTTGTGTTGACATTGGCCTTTTTTCCACCAGAGTTTTATTTTTAGTTTGCTCCACACGCATTGTGTGGTGCGTTAAGCCGTAAAAAGAACTGAAAAAATTGTTAATGGTGATTTCTACCTCGTTATCGCGACTACCTCTAAGTTGCCATACAGCGACGGACTATGGACATTTTCTACTGACACATGCTTTTAAAAACGTTTAAGAATTACAGATACATATTCTAGGTTTGTGTTATATCGTAAAGGTCATATTTTATAAGGATTTTTTTTAGGGCAGGGGAGGCGTCTACACAGTATCATGCAAATAAATTTCTATCAGTATTACATAGTTGCGTCTATATAACCGTCCCGCTCCACCTACAGCTAGTGGCTCAGGCCGGTGCGCGCGCCGCGAGACAGACAAACTTTACGGTTTTGCCCCAAGTTTTGTGCATGCCAAGCGGAATGTTGCTCTGCGCCGAGGCGCCTCTCTGCTCGCCCAGCGCGCCAGCTACGTATACGGGCGGAAAGGAAAACGTTAACAAAAATATGAGAGCAGAGCGGGGCATTACATTTAAAAAATGAATCTATCCGTATACGTTTTGGTTGTTTTACTCTACGTCTACGGATGCGAATAGAGAAAATAATAATTGCGGTGGGTTCTCGCGACCCACTCGCTCACACCTACACATTGCTTGTGCAGATCGTGCGAACTGTGCGGCGTTCTCACGGGCGTCTTTTCCCGGTTCTTTTGATTGACATGTCCAACTCCGTCGGCCGGTTTGTTGCGCGCCTGGAAAAAGGAAAGCGAGAAGAAGAGGTTGTAGTTTTGTAAATCCTGTCTCTGTCTCGAACAGTCTTCGTGCGAGCCCGTTCAAAAATAAAAAAAGAGGAAGAAATAAAATAATGAAAGGGTTTGGCGTGTTGCGGTTAACGCCCCCTTCCCCTGCTCCAACTTCGCGGGCAATCGAGCCCCTTGGCGGCGACATAACTGGTCGTTATACTGCTGCCCTTCCCCCTCCAGTCTAGTGCGGAAGTGAGTCGTTTGACGGCCAAGAAATAATCACTTGGATTCGGTCCGCCAGTTATTTGCGTCGCAGCGGAACGCGACGGCGCAAAGTGGCCACACCTCCCTTATACAATCAAGTGTTTTCACTTCCGCTTCCTATTTCCCCCCGACCTCCCTTATTTTCATTTCCCGCAAGCGCTGCTGGGTAGATGTCGCCGCTTGTCGCTGCTTGCCCACCGCAACTGCAAATGCGCAAATACTGAGTTAAAAGAAACGAATGTGTCGGCTGGCCTTGCGGGCATGCCAACTCGTGAAGTATGCTGGAGTGTTGTTGCCTCCGATGGCTCTCCGAGGGAAAAAGCCTGGTGGGAAAGGGGGGGGGGGAGACGGAGCTCAGCCAGAACCCGCCTCTATTGTCTCGTGAGGGTGACGAACGCTGCGGTTATTGCTGTTTCCAGTGTGCAAATTTCTAATCCTAATGATGATTTTTAGATTGAATCCTGTTTGTGAAATGGCTCTGCTGTCAATCTGTATAAGCTGATACATTTCCGAGTAGCGAGTTCTAACGTGTGTGAAAATCAGAAAATTGTTTGTGCTTGATACGACTAATTAATTATTATTGTTACAGGGTTCGAGCTGCTGCAGGGAGGCTGGTGAGATTATCGTCAGCTTTAGTCTAAGGAGGCCTTTCCTCTATAGTGTCGCTTGCTCAGCTCCCTATCAGGTTTGTGCCAGTTGTAACGGCAGTTGACCTGCGATGAGAGGCAATACAGCGCGCGCTGAATGTGTTTTCTTTGCAGATTAATTATCTCAAGCTTTTTCGACAACATGGCCGTGCAGTGTGAGGTCTGCTACCGGGTCTACAAGACACCAAACAAACTAAAGGTGCACATGCGAGTGCACACTGGAGAGAAACCATTTAAGTGCACCGTTTGTGACAAGATGTACTCTACGCCACGTAATCTGAAAGATCATCACCGCTCTCATACCGGTGAAAGGCCTTTTGAGTGCACCCTGTGTCTGAAGAAATTTGCCTACGCGTGCTCTTTGAGATATCATCTTCGCGGTCACACTGGTGACCGGCCTTTTGAGTGCACAGTGTGCCAAAAGAAGTTCAAGTCATCTACCAAGTTGATTAATCATCTTCGCACTCACACTGGTGAACGGCCTTTTGAGTGCACAGTGTGCCAAAAGAAGTTCAAGCAATCTACCAAGTTGATTAATCATCTTCGCACTCACACTGGTGAACGGCCTTTTGAGTGCATGTTGTGCCAGAAGAAGTTCTCTCGTTCTGACAATTTAAGTGTTCACCTTCGCACTCACACTGGTGAACGGCCTTTTGAGTGCACAGTGTGCCAGAAGAAGTTCTCTGTTTCTGCCAGTTTAAGTGTTCATCTTCGCACTCACACTGGTGAACGGCCTTTTGGATGCACAGTTTGCCAAAAGAAGTTCTCTAGACCTAGCGATTTAAAGAAGCATCTTACCACTCACACTGGAGAACGGCCTTTCGGGTGCACAGTGTGCCAGAAAACATTTTCCTTGTCAGCAAATTTGAAACGCCACCAGCGCACTCACACTTCGACCTAGACTATTCCAAATGTAGAAATAACTATGGACTAGACTATCGGAGTGGCTCCTCTTTATTTTTTATTACGACCGACGGTGACATTTGTCTGGAATACATGTTAGGCAGGTTAATTTCATTGTGAAATTGTACAAGACGTATCCAAATGTTTTCATATTCTTTTAATTTAAAACGAATTTTGGTCAATAAACGCTGCTTGTTCATTTCATGACTGGTACTTCTTTACTTCATCCTTCAACGTTTGAACATGTTTCCCCCCCTATCCCTGTGCAGATATGAACCGCATACCCTGCCTCGCCGCAGAGAAGTTGATAGCCCGGCCGGGGCCGAAGAGGATCGCTCTGTCTGACCGAGCGACGGGGTGGAAGTGGATGAGGGATCTCCCCGCCCGACCCACCCAGTTCAGGTGATGACCAAAGTTTGGATTGTTTTTGTCTGGGTGCGTAGCGCTCGCCTGGCTGCGGCCTCCCGCAAGCGCCGCTCTGAGTCGACTGCTTGCATGTCACCGCCTGCATTTGTGACGTTGTCACCCATCCCCTAATAGTTAATTCCGCCACCGCTGTTTAACAAATCTCCTGTTCTCGAATCTCAAGGCGTTGCTCTATCTCCCCCCTTTCTCTCACTCTCTCTCTCTCCCCTCGAGTAATCGGGTGGGGCGTGACTCAGGGACCGTATCGAAAGGGCATGGGGACACACAACCCCCTCCTCACGACCTCATGCACCCCGGGGACGCGGCGACTCATCAACACTTCATGGAGCGGATCTTATCCGAAAGGCCATCGGCCCAGCGGCGGCCTCTGCTCTGCTGCTGCTGGTGACCTCGGCCTGCGAGGCGAGGTCGGGGTGCGGTCGGGGTTGTCCCCCTCGGGTCGCATGAGGTAGGCAAGGTCGTTCCACCTGCGGGACGCGCCTCCCGCCGCGCATCCTGCGAAACTACTTGGCCCGTCTGTACTGTGAGGTCTGACGCGTGTTGGGCGGAGCAGTGGGGTTGAAAATTCACGGAAATTTCCCGAAAATATCCGGAAAATGACAAACACTTCCAAAGTCTGGAAAATTTTTCATTTTCTCCGGACCTCTTCTGGGAACTTTCCAGGGCTTTCAACCCTACCGACGGAGCAGGGCGCCAGTGGTGAGTGGACGTAGTGGCGTGGCTTTTCGAGTCAATTGGTGTGGTGGGGCGAAGTGGCGCATTACGTGCTCCGCTCTCGCGTGAGGAGCTCAGTGGGCCGGCCGGCAGGCCTGGTGGGTCGGGGCCGGGGCTGCTCTCCGTGTTGGCCGGGCAGGCAACCCCCCCCCCCCCCCCCGCCACCACTACGCTCTCTGGGCCGAGCGAGTCCTCAGTGCGGGGATCGTGCCGTATATGGACGGACGGACTATGGGCAGTCGATACGTCCCCGCGCCATCGCACTCGCGATATGGTTTTGCGACACAGCCACCTTCCTCCCCCCCCTCTCTCTCTGTCTCTGTCTCTCTCCTCTGTGTGCTGATCTTCCCTGTCCCGTGCGTCCAGCCTCGCCTGTCCAACCACCCCCCCCCCTTCCCCCCATCCCCTTGATACGTGGCCGTTGATTTGTGGCTTGCTCTTCCAAAGTCTTGCTCGCCTGCTCGCCCGCCTCCGGGTATGTGGTTAAGGGGGGAAGAAGACATCTTCAATTATTGATGTACAACCCCCTCGCTCCTTGCAAGCCGCGAGGGAAGGGGTGCGGTGCGGGCGGTGGGGGGCAGATTGCAGCCCTGATGGGTTCCTCGCGCGCGGGAGGCGAAGCTCTCTCTCTCTCTCTCTCTACTTCTTGCTCTTCATCCGTGCTCTCCTATCCTCCCACCTTCCTCTCTTTCTCACTCGCTGGATCCCTCCGACTGCCGCGAAGACGTCTTGGACGCAATAAGAGCAGCAATCTCCAATCTCGGCCCGCCCGGCCGGGCAGCAAAGCGCCTTCGATTCGACACGCGAATCGGTCTGCCCTGCGCGATGAGAACCCCTCCCCCCTTTTCCCTTCGTCGGGATCGCGAACGTCCCTTTATCGCTGTGTATTTTATTTTCCCTTCCCGTTCGGGTGTTGCTGCTGGCGCGTGCGGCGCGGATCGAGTCGACACCGCGAGATATCGAAAATTTGAAATTAGGCTGAGCAGCAAGGCGGCCGGAAATGAGTGATCCGAAGCCGGAAACACACCCTCCGGAAAGCAGTTAAGGGGGGATGAGCAAGAGAGATATACCAAGGTTGGACCGACCGCGCGGCCGCGATCAAGGCGGAGGTATATGGGGTGGTGGAGAGCGAGAGAGAGAGCGAGATAGTGGAGGGGGTATAAACCTCCCCGAACCTACCCCTCTCTGTTTTCTCCTCGCGGGGTGCGTGAGTGTGTCAGTGGGCCAGACCGGGCCGGGCACCCTGCCCTTGAGCGCGGGGCCCCTAGAGGCAGCGGAGGCGCCCCCTGCAGGCGCCGCGGGGCGTCGCGCTCGCCGCGATACCCCCTGCTGGTGGCTCACCCCCACGCGGGCACTACCGGCCACCCCTTGCCGACCTGGGGTGGCGGGGTATCGCTAGTCACGCACGTGGTAGCCAGTTTACTGTAAAGAGCTTGAATAATTTTAAGGGGGGTCAGGACAAAAAAAAATGATTTTCGGTTTTATTTTTTAAAAAATTCTCTG